AAGAATTTATTGGGCTTATGATTCCAAAGGGATAAGAGTCAATCATAGCAGGGGAGGTGTGGCAGGAAACAGGCATAGCAGAAAGCTGAGCACTCATCTTCAAGCAAGGACAGAAGCAGAGAGAATGAGAGGGATACTGCAAGTGGGACAAGAACACAAACTTTCAAAGCTGACCCCCAGTGGTGTACTTCCTAGAATAAGACCACACCTCCTGAAGGTCCCATGACCCTCCCCAAAGAGCACCACTAACTGACCAAGTGTTCAATACTTGCAGCCTATGAGGGACAATTCTCATTCAAACAACCACAGTAGGAAAGACAACTGGTGTTCTAAATAAAAGATCAGTGTCTTGAATGAATACAAAAATTATGTGTTAGGGGCTAAAGAGATGGCTCAGTGGTTAAGAACACTGGTTGTTCTTGCAGAAGACCCAGGTTCGAATCCCAGCACCCACATGGCAGCTAACAACTGTCTGTAACTCCAGTCCTGGAGGATCTGACAGCTTCTTCTGACCTCCGTGGGCACTGCATGACACTGGTGCACTTACCTACATGCAGGCAATATACACATACACATTAAAAAAATAAATAAAAATTGTTTTAAATTATGTGTTATAACAGGAACAAGGAAGAAAGTAGGAAAAAAGGCATCAAGAACAAGACACAAGAGAGCAAACATAAACAACAATCCAAGATAATGGAACAAGATACTCAAGTAGAACAGAAAGAATGGATCAATGTTTGAGCCAGTGGATTGACAAAACAACTGTGAACCAATGTACTACATTCTTCTGTAGATATCAATGACAGGGATTGTGGGATATAAGATGCAGAGAGAAGAGTAGTACTTAGTCCTGGATGAATATGAGGGAGGAACAAAGGTACTAGGTGATGAAAATAACCACTCAAAGAAGAAGATAGTACACGGCACAGGAAGCCAATTCCAAGTCCAAAGCTCAGAAGAGGGTATAACTTACAAAGGACAGAAGATTACAAAGTCAAATGCAACAGCCACTAGGGGATAAAGGGAAAGAAGGAGCTCAAGAGAGGTAGGACCACAGGAGAAGGGTATTAGTAAGGGAGAAAGGGGGGAAATGGGGGCACCTTAAGTGGGAAAACCATGATGGAGGGGTGAGACAATGCGAGAGATAAACAATGCCTAGTTTTAAACACCAGAGGGAACCACCCATATTACTCCTACAACCTACTGACAAATTATACATAGCAGATCAAGAAATATATGTCTAGGTAAGGTTTATCTGAGAACAATTGGTCTTTGCCCAAGATTTATCTACATGACACACAGTAATTAAAAATACCAGACTGGTGGAACTAACCTTCTTGGGTGTTTAACAGACATACTTTGAGGTCTACAATAATTTGGTCAGAGGGATATAAAAGACACTTTTTGCTCCTAGCCCTCCCAGGTTGACTAGTTCCAGAGGACTATGAGCATCTCTCAAAATGTCCTATAATG